AATTAATATGTATTAATTAAAAATTAAAATTAATTAATAAATTAATTTTTTAAACATTATTTTAAAAAAATTTAATGATCTTTACCATTTTAATTCTAATGGTCATAATAATCACGCCCGCCAGCCAATCTTGGATGTGCACTTCTAGCGTTATGCTGCTTCAAATCTCCTTCACTAAAATTATTTGTACGTATTTAATAAAATAAAATATCAAAAAACTATTTAGGTTGTATTTGATATTGTTGTGGAATGTAGTAATAAGTAATTGTCACTTTTTTATGCACTATACTATCATAAAAATTATATCAGCGTTCAATGATTATTTTTAGAAAGTATTATATATTTGTATTACAACATAAAATTAGATTGCACAAAAGAATTCTTAAATGAGATTTAAGAGATGAATTTTTTGATATTAAAAGTTTTTTTAATTTATATTTTATAATTTAATATAATTTAAACTGTAAAATAAAAAATTTTAAAACATGTAAAATTTCTTTTAAAAGTTTAACCTTTTTTATACTACTAATATATGATAACACGTATAAAAAAGACATATGGTTACGTTTATATGATAAAGTGTGAAGATAATATAAATATATAAGTATTATTTCTTAAAATATAAATTTAATTTAATTATTAAAAAAATTAAAAATTATAATTATTAATTAATAAATAATAAAAATAATTAATATTTATTATTTAATATATTACATTAATCTTATATTTTTAAATACCATAACTTATTAAAGTAAAAATAAAAGCAATATTTGTGTCATAACCACGAGCCATGGTACTACTAAAATAATCTCAAACGCAACTTAATAAAATTTTAATATGTCTTTTTTTAAATTAACTTTTTATATGCAATAATTATATTAAATTTTGATTAATTTAGAATCAAATCGTATCAAATCTCATAAAAAAAAACTCTCAAAACATTTATTTATGAGGTTGGTGCTTGTCCGCTTTACCTCCAAAAAATTAAGAGAAAAAATGACAAATATCATCTTAATGCATGTTTTAAAAATATGATAGTTTAATTTTTTTCAATAAAAATTTATTGAAACGACGTAATTTTAAGATAATTTTCTTACTAGTCTTTAGGAGGTAAGGCTGACAAGTACTTTATTTATTTAATTATTTATAAAATTTAAATTTAAAATTTTATTTAAAAAAATTAAATTACTTTCATTTTTGTTTTTAAACAGTGGGAAACTTATGTTTTTTTCCGGGGATGGGAAAGAAACTTGAGATTTGATCTCAGGTCTCGTTAGTACTACACACGTCCGAAAGGGGTGGCCAATCGGCCACCATGTGCGGGACAAATTACCTTCATTTAAAACAATAAGTCGTTGGTATTTAATATGCTAATAAATGCTTCCGTGTGCCGTGGAGAGTTGTCTTTCCCATTTGGGGCCTCCTTTGCCAGTTTGCCTCTTTGCTCTTGGTATTGGCTCCCTTACCTCGTGGCTTAGGCAACTTGAATCACAAAATTATCCTTCTCTTAATTGAATATTTGTAGTATTATTTTGGCTTTTAACTTCCATTTGGAAGATAGTAATAAAGTGAAATGAGAAAATAAAAATTCTATATTCCAAATTATTCGGCTAATATCTTTCCCAAAAAAAAAATAATAATAAAATAAAACCCATTGTCTCCAAGGGTAGACTAGTCTTTTCAGCTACTGTACCTCAAGAATCAAAATAGGGGCGCTCCAAATCAAGAAAAAGATGAGGGTAAAAATAGGAATTTTATTAATTTTTATTAAAAAATATTAAAATTTAGTTATTTATGATTTAGGATTAATGCACACCAAAATTTAAAATTTTAAAATGTTCATATAATATTTGATGTAAATGTATATAAAAATTTGAAATTTTAAGATTGCAAATAAGAGCACAAAATTTATATTAAGTACACATAACTATTTAAAATTAAATAAAATTGGCTTACATACCCTTACTTTTCTAATTAAATAAAATTAGCCTACATACCATTATTTTTCTTACCTTTTCATTATTTTAAAATAGAGGTTTTAAAAAATTTTAAGTGATTATTTGTATTAAGTGCAAACTTCAAGTATTTATGCATATATTTTGATATTTTAAATCTTTATATGCTCATATCCAAGATCATAAATATGTTTTGTGTATATTTTAAAGGCTAAAGTGATTATATGCATTTACCACAAAGCATGAGTGGCTAAGTCATAAATTTTTTTTAATTTAAAGATGTGAATTTTTAAAATTTTTTAATTTAATAATATTAATTTTATTTTTTAATGTAAAAATTAATTAAATGATCAACTTAGCATCTCTATTTTATTAATTTTTAAATAAAAAATAAAACAGATATGTTTAAATAAAAAACTAAAATTTTATTATTTTGTTTAAAAATTAATAAAATTTACATCATTAATAAAAAAAATTTCTTTAACTTTTATCTTTAAAATATATGTTAAAAAATAATTATTATACACTTTTCACATTAATTATTATTAAAAAAATAATTAATTTTTATTTAAATAATTTTTTAATTAAAATAATTTATAACATTAATGATAAAATTAATAATAATTTGTGTACTTTTAATAATAATTAATATAAAAAATATAATAATTATATTTTTAAAGTAGAAATTAAAAAATTCATAAAAATAATAAAATTTGTACCTTTAGATATACATTTTTCCTCAAAATCAGTGCCCCAAAGAAAGAAATAATAATAAATTAATATATAAAAATAAGGGGTTATACAGAGGAAAGGTGAAATCGTTAGTGAGGGAAGGGTCACGTAGGCACGTGCCATCCACAATGAGTCGGTGCATCGTCTCTCACAAATGGAAAAGTGACACGCACCAATTGCGCCGCACTGTTTCCCCTATCCCACGCGCCCTCTCGTCACATTCCTCATTCATATCCACTAGTTCTTTTTAGTCATAAAATATATTTTAAAAATAAACAAAAACTAAATCTTATTTTTTTATTATACTTAAAAAAAAAAAAAACTTATACGCAATTGCAATCTCGTAAGAAATTATTTTTTTTTCTTGTTTGCAAGGAAAATGGGTCTCTATTTTTTCCATTTACTAATCAAGTTGCTAATTGTTTTATATCAAAATAAAATTGTTCAAAGTCTCTAATAATATAGAAATTTAAAATTTTAATCTTAGGAATGGTGGAGAAAAATATAAGAAAAAGTAAGTATACGATTGTTATATAATTATTTATTGATTAAATCTTTATTTTGGTTTTTTTATTTTGATAAAAAATTTCTTTTTAATCTTTTTATTTAAAAAAACTTATCTTTGGTCCATAAAATTTAAAATCTAACTCTTTTTTAATCCCTACGTTAAATTTTACATACATGAGACATTAGATTACGAAAATTTTAAAGTACAAAAAAAAACTAAAAATGGTTTCAATTTGGTTCTTCTACTTTGAAAAAAATCTCACTTTTGGTCCTTTTTTTTTGAAATTTTCATCATTTAAAGTAAAAAAAAATATTTATTCAAAATTTAAAGGTAAATATTTACTATATAGAATAAGTTTTATTATTTTAAAGATAGTGATATAAAGATAATTTTTTGTATAATTTTTATATATTATTAAATTAATAAATATATTTAATATAATAAATTTTAAATAAATAAATAAATAAATAATTTAAATAATACATAAAATTATGTAAAAAATATAAAAAATTATTTTTAAATCAATTTTTTTTAGTTATATTAAAAGTTAGGGCTATATAGGACTAAGGAGTCAGGAGCGTGATAAGGAGTGTGCGTGGGATAGGCTAGTTCATTTGCAATTGAAAAAAAAAATCTAAGGCTCCGCATTGACCGCCCCAGGCCTCGCTCCAAGCCCCAGACCGTATCTTTTGCAGGACCCACTTTAATATAACCTTTTTTATTTTTTTAATGATCTTAAAATAAGAACTCCTCTCTATTTATAACCCTTTTTTTTTAATAAATTCGTAAAAGATTAAATTTAAACTGTTGCTTAAGGGTAAAGAATGCATTTATACGTGATTTGACACAACAGGACTTAAAAGTCAAGTGCTTTATTTATAACCATTTAGTACTCCTGTGAGATTAAAAAATGATAAAAGTTTCTTGTTTGTCCTTTAAAATGTATTAAATTACTTATAAAATAAAAATAATTAAATAAAAAAACCTTTAATATTAGGAAAGTTATTTAACTATTTAAGTTACACTGTCCAATGCTTATCAAACTTCACAATATTTTTTTAAAATAATAAAATAGAATAAGTAACTACATATAATCATAAAAAAATTTAGTAAATTCTTCTTTCAAAGGCTTTTTCCTTGAACTTTGAACATAAATAAAAAATGTTTTTGCTTGACCTTACCTGTCACTAATTAGTAATTTACCTAACCATAGGTTAGATATAATTATTGTTATCATAAAAAAATGTTAATATTATTAAAATTTTCAATTTCATTTTCAACTAATGTTTTTAAATATTAATTTATTAATTAATTTTACTTTATTAATAAAATTTTTTAT